TCCTCCTCCTCCTCCTCCTCCTCCTCCCTCCCCCGTCCCGACCTCTCCGAGGCCGCGCCCGACCGTGTTGGTCAGAGGGCGGATGCCCACCAGGGGCGGGAACCGCGAGGCGATGTGTCCTCCATTACCCTGGACTGGTTGATCTTTGGATGCAACGTCTGGGAGGCCCTTGTAAGACCGACTCGAAGCTATTGAAGGGGCCCAAGGACACACCTTTCACACAAAAAAATGAATCCCGAGATTCCCGAGCTTTTCTTACATGTTCTGGGTTTTCGTCGTTCCCCCCACTTTCCATATTGTCCCACACTTTCCTGGGAATCGGGGATGAATTGTGTCTGTGTGTTTTTCTCCTCCTGAGCTGCAGTAGTCCCGATTCAGGGGCCGTTGAGAACAGGGCCCCCGAATGCTCCAGGGGCCCCTGGGACGGCACAGGAGGGTCCCACGATGGGGTCCGAGAAGGGCAGTACGAAATGACATCTCGAATCTTTCCCGCCGCGATGGCCCCAAGCTCCCCAGTGAAACCCCGAGGCGCCGTCAAGAGGCCCACAGAGACTTCCAAGAGGCCCCCGAGAGGGCCCTCCAAAGGGCCCCCGAGAGGCATCCCGAGAACGCCTCATAGGGATCGCCGAGGCACCCGGCCCACACGCCAGGCAGGGTGGCACGACGCTTGACGGCTTCACTGCTGTGGGGCTCGGCGGAATGACGCGAGCCTCTGGACGAAGCCCAGGTGAAGTCCATGACGAAGAGCGGGACCATCGGCCAGAATAGGGCGGCCTACAGCTGCAAAGTGTGGGGGAACCGAAGCGTACCGACGCCGCTGCTCCCCGGAGCGTTCCCCCCGGGGTGCGTTCTCACAAAAAATTCGAGGCGACTCCCGCCGTGGCGACGAGGGCCTCCCGGGAGGCCCAACAAAGGCAAACGCGAGGCCAGGGTAGCATTAGGTCGGGCATGTCCCCCTACAGGCGGATTTTGGACGATTCAAAGTTTAATCAAAATTGCGCAAAAAAAGAATCGAACAATCGTCCCAACACTGTCTCTTCTATGCTCAAATATTCATCCTGTAGAGGAATATACAGGCGCCAATGCTGGATCCAGCATATCAGGGACTGCAATCGATCTTCACGGCGGGGAGCAGGAGGAGGAGGAGGAGGAGGGAGGAGGGGGAGGAGGAAGAAAGGAGGGGCAGGAGGGATGAGGGGAGGAGGAGGAAGAGAGGAGGAGAGAGGAGAACGAGGAGGAGGAGGAGGAGGAGGAGGAGGATGAGAACGAGGAGGAGGAGGAGGCGGAAGAGGAGGAGGAGGAGGAGTAGGAGGAGGAGGAGTAGGAGGAGGAGGAGAACGAGGAGCAGGAGGAGGAGAACAGGGGAGGCAAACCACGCACGGCGCTGCCGTGCCAGCGCCGCCCTGGCCCGCGGCTCCTCGCTGCTCACGCCGCCTCTAAGCCTGCGGAGGCCGCTCCGCAGAGGGGGGGGGGACAGAGAGCGGCGTGCTCACGTCGAGATGACCCAGATCTCCGACGATGTGCTTTTACCAAAATGTCAAAAATAATGTTGCTGCGATTTCGACCTCTGGGGGCCGCTTTCGCGCTGCAGGGCACTCAGCAAGGGGCCCGGGACGAACAACTGCCCCCCGGGGGGGGGCCGGGACTTCTGGTTCCGCGCATTGAGAAAATCCTGGCGAAGGACATGAAAAGATGAAGTTGGGAATACTGCAGTGGTGCGCATCCTGGAACTCCCTATGGGGCCACGAACCGTGTGAGGGGTGTGCAGAAATGGGTGGCGGGGCCACATGTGGTCACATCCACTGGGGCCTTCGTTGGAATCCCCATGGGGCCACGACCCGTGCGAAGGGTGTGCCGAAATGCGCGGCGAATGCATGTGGTCACAACCTCTGGGGCCTTCGGTGGAGCTCCCTTTGGGGCCACGAACCGTGTGAGGGGTGTGCCGAAATGGGTGGCGGGACGCATGCGGTCACAACAACTGAGACCTTCGATGGAGCTCCGATGGGGCCACGAAACGTGAGAGGTGTGCCGAAACGGGTGGCGGCGAAGCATCTTGTCACAACCGCTGGGGCCTTCGGTGGAGCTCCATTTGGGGCCACGAAGCGTGTGAGAGGTGTAGGGGAGCTCCATACGGGGCGGCGAACCGTGCGTGGGGTTTGCCGAAAATGGGCGCGGGACGCATGTGAACGCAACCACTGGGGCCGTCGGTGGAACTCCCGATGGGGCCACGAACCGTATGACGGGTGTGCCAACATGGGCGCGGGACGCATGTGACCGCAACCATTAAGGCCTTCGGTGGAGCTCCAGTTGGGGCAACGAACCGTGTGAGAGGTGTACCGAAATGGGCGCGGGACGGATGTCAACGTAGCTACTCGAGCCTTCGAGTGAACACCCCTATGAGGTCACGAAACGCGTGAGGGGAATGCCGAAATGGGCGCGGGACGCTTGTGAACGCAACCGCTGAGGCCTTCGGTGGAGCTCCCGATGGGGCCACGAGCCGTGCGAAGGGTGTGCAAAAAATGGGCGCAAGACGCATGTGAACACAACCGCTAGGGCCTTCGGTGGAGCTCCCTATGGGGCCACGAACCGTGTGAAGGGTGTGCAGAAATGGGTGGCGGGGGCGCATGTAGCCACATCCACTGGGGCCTTCGGTGGAACTCCGATGGGGCCACGGACCGTGTGAGGGGTATGCCGTAATGCGCGCGGGACGCATACAACCGCAACCACTGGGTATTCGGTAAAGCTCCTGATGGGGCCACGAACCGTGTGAGGGGCGCGCCGAAAAATGGCGCGGGACGCATGTGAACGCAACCGCTGGAGCCTTCGGTGGAGCTCCCTATGGGGCCACGAGCCGTGTGAAGGGTGTGCCGAAATGGGTGGCGGGACGCATGTCAACGCAACCACTGGGGCCTTGGGGGTGGAATTCCCTATCGGGCCACGAACCGTGTGCGGGAGTGCCTGCCTGAATGCGCGCGGGACGCATGTGACCGCAACCACTGGATCTTTCGGTGGAGCTCCCTGTGGGGCCACGAACCGTGTGAGGGGTGTGCCGGACATGGGCGCGGGACGCATGTGAACGCAACCACTGGGGCCGTCAATGGAACTCCCTTACGGGGCCACGAGCCGTGTGAGGAGTGTGCCCGAATGGGCGCGGGACGCATGTGAACACAACCACTGAGGTCTTCAAGAGAGCTCCCTACGGGGCCACGAACCGTGTGAACGGTGTGCCTAAATTCTCGCGGAACGCATGTGAACGCAACTGCTGGGTCCTTCGGTGGAGCTCCCTATGGAGCCGCGAGCCGTGTGAAGGGTGTGCCAACATGGGCGCGGGGCGCATGTGAACGCAACCACTGGGGCCTTCGAAAAAGATCCCTATGGGGCCACGAACCGTGTGAGGGTTGTGCCGAAATGGGCGTGATGATGATGACGACGACGATGATGATGATGCTGATGATGATTATGATGATGATGATGGTGATGATGATAATGATGATGATGCTGCTGATGATGATGGTGATGATGATGATGCTGATGCTGTTGCTGCTGCTGCTGCTGCTGATGATGATGATGATGATGATGATGCTGTTGTTGATGCTGATACTGATGATGATGATTGTGATGATGATGTTGATGGTGATATTGTTGACGATGATGGTGATGACGATGATATCCATGATGATGGTGACGACGATGATGGTGATGATGATGATGATGATGATGATGATGATGATGATGATGATGATGACGATGATGATGAGGAGGAGGAGGAGGATGAGGATGCGGAGAGCAGAGGCAGGGTTGTGAGGATTGGTGAGGGCAGCTGGAAGAGGGGAGGAGGAAAGAGGGGGGAGGGGAAGGGGAAGGAGGGAAGCATGAAAGAAAGCAGCTCGGGGCACTGTCCCTTTAAAACAAGGACCCAGCACCACAAGATGGTCGGGAACAAAAATATCGGCGGCCGTCTGGGGAGAGCGCAAAGCTCACGTCACGATGGCGCAGGAGTTGGCTTCTGACACCGCCCACCCCCAACCCCGATCGGGGAACTTCAACTGACCATCTCATTGGACGCCCGACTTATCTGGGACAACCGTGGTCTGGGGTAACTCCTGTTTGGGCCCACGAGGCACGAACCCGTAGCTACCCGTGACTGCCCCCACCCCTGGTGATTCGGGAGGGTTTGCCGCCCGAACTGTCCGGGACAACTGCGGTCCGGGGTAACTCGGGTCGGGCCCCCGGGACGCGAATCTGCAGCTGCCCCTAACCGCCCCAGGCCCGAGGACTCGGGCATATCGACCTCAGTCAGATGCTTCCAGCTACGTAAGGAGAGGACCCTTCATGGCTGGAAACATCTTCGGGGGGTCTTCGGGGCGTCCGGGGTCGGGCCCCCCCCCCGCGAGGGCCCCCCCGCCACGCGATCGGGGAACGTCCCCGGACCCCCGGACGCCAGGCATTTTTCTTAACGTCGACCCCCGAGCTCTCGACCCACTCCCCAGGACCGCCTTTTCATCCTGAACAGTTTTTTGACGGTCCCGCGGGCCGGTGAGGGCCCCCAGAGGCCGAAGATCAAGAAAAACCTCTCGGGATTTTCCCATGACTCGAGGGTGTCTGGGGAGAGGGGCCCCCCTCCCCACCCGATGAGGGAACGCCAACCGACCACCCCGGCGAGTTCGGCCATAGGCCCCGCTGGGGCCCAAGGGATCGGTGCCCGCGCTCCCCCCCTGGCCAAGACTCGGCGATGGGCAAACCTCCCTTTAATAACCACCCTTCAGCGAGAACGGCCTTGGAGCGAAACCGACGGACCTGGACCCCCAAAAATGACGGCCGCGACGCCCTCTCGCGAACCGAAAACGGCCAATTCGCTGATCGACGTGTCAGGGCAGGAGGTCTATCAACCTCCGGAAGACACTCCAGGGCGAACGCGCCGACCATGGGCACCGAGGGTGGGCCTGGCCGGGATCGGCGGGGGGTTCAGGGCTGGACCCAGAGACGATTTGTTCTGTGTTTTGCAATCGTTTTGTCTTTCGTTCTGCTGTACCTGTTTTCCTGCACCGGCCCCCCAAAACAAAAAAACAACACATAACGCAGCCGAAGTCCAGCAAACCAGCGTTTAGGTCCAGCCCTGGAGGTGGTCAGGTGAGCGACGAGCAAAAAGGGGAGGGGTCTCACGCGAGATGGCGCAGCGATCTTACGCAGCGGCTTGCGCGGGCGGCCCGAGCGTCACGCCACACTTGACGCAAGGGCGCTCACGCGCGACCTTACGCGGACAGCTTGCGCGCCAATGTCGGCGCAGACGACCGACCCTGTTTTTTTGCGCCGCTCAGGTGAGGCCACCCGACCCAAAACGAAGCCAGGACGAGGAGAACAACATCTGGTGAGGACAAATCGAGCATCTCTGAGATCGGGCGGCTCAAGAGGATGTCTCAGGCGCCACGGCCTCCTCAGAGCGTTCTGGAACGCTCTGAGAACGTTGCGGAACGCTCCGGGAACGGATCTGTCCTCGGCCTATAGAACCACCCGTCCCCCGACCGATTCCTCTTCCGCGTTTCGGCATCCGAGGGGCCTTGCCGGGCCCTGGGGCCAGCATCAGCGGACCCGGGGCGAAAAGCCGACCCCCAGGAAGAGAGCCGAGAGCACTGGGGCGCGGATTGAAAACATCCCTTCGCCGGCCTGAGTTTTGTGAGGGGGCCGAAGGACACAAATAGATACACACAAATAATAATATTCCATATGTTTCCATATTTTCTGGGGTTTTGTCTTCCCCCCCATTTCCCATATTTTCCCAAATTTTCCTCGGGATCGTCGATGAATTGTGTCTGTAGACTCTGTGTGTTTCTTTCCCTCCTCAGCTGTGGCACTCACACCGCGTGGATCCTTCCAGCCTGGAGCGATCGATCGCCCCCCCCCTCGGGCAGCCGAGGGCACGCGAACGGTGCTGGCCGAGCGCAGGTGGCCTGTGGCCTTTCCCCTGGCACGCCCGCGGTGGCGTCGCCGAGCGCGAGCGGAAGCACCAGCGCGAACCCGAGCCCGAAGGTGAGCGAGCCCGAGCGCGAGCCCAAGCCCGAGTGTGAGCCCGAGCGCGAGCCCGAGCCAAAGCTTGAGCCCGAGCCCGGCCCCAAGCCCGAGCCCGAGTCCGACTCCGAGTGCGAGTCCGAGCGCCAAGTCGACGAGGCACAAACTCTCCGACCTCAGACTTGACTGGTACAAAGGGGAAACCAAGCCTGCCTCGCTTTTGACCACCCTCGCTTCCACGAGATGCCAAACGATGCCGAATTGCAGCCTGTACTGGTCAGGCCGCTGGACGAGGAGGCGCGTGGCATGGCTTGGTTTTGCCTGGAAGCGAAAGCGGGGTCGGTAATTCACGCTCTGATGGTGGGGAAACGAACTCTACACACCGACGCCTTTCCCGACCCTGCGCTGAAGTTCGCACAGGAACGCGGATTCTGGTGTATACGGGATCCTGGTGTATATATCTTTCGTGGTTTTCCCAGGACATACGGGGAAACAAGTATACACCACACCACCCCAGCGTCGTCCCCGACCCTCGAAAAGTCCTGGGATTCAAGAAACAGCCCGCCACTGGTACTGTGTACGTTCCAGCTTCCGACCTGGTGAATCGAGCCGCATCGCCAATGCATCTCGGCAGCCGGCCGTCGGGATGGAGAAAGGAGCGCTCCATGACCGAGCCGCACTGCCGGTGTGCCAGCGACGCGGCGCGATCCTCCGACCCCGTCTCTTCTCAGGGAGGTCCCCAGAGGTGGGGGAACCGAAAGGTACGGATACCGCTACTCCCCGGACCTCTCCCAGGAAGGGTTCTGACCAGCGCTTCGAGGCGAATCCAGCGGTAGCGACGAGGGCCTCCCACGAAGAAGGGGAAAGCAAGGGGAGGGTAGAGGTATGGGTACCTTTTCGAAAGGGTTCCCATACTTCTACCCTCCAATCGTTTTCCCTGGAGGTCCGAAGAGGTCCCCAGGGGCCCGAAGAGCGCCCAAACATAGCGCTCAAAACAACCTCCGAAAGCCGCGACGTCTCCGAGGACGTGCCTGAGGGTCCCAGGCGTCCGATGTCGTGCTTTTGACAAATGACGTGGCTCTGGAATCGGCAGGGCCGTTTTTTTCACCACTTCCAAACAAAATCTTGAAAATGAAAACAGCAAAACAACGGCGACCGGAAACGGCAAAAGCACGGCTCCAGGATTGGAACCGGAGCCGGAACTGGCCAACAAACGACGACGGAACTGGTACAAAAACGGCAACAGAACCGGTAAATAAACGGCAAAACGGAATCGGTAAAAAAACGGCCCTGTCGTTTCCAGGGCCCACGAAGGTCTGGACCCCTTTCATGGGACAAGCGCTTCATCCTGACTGGTCTACAATTCCAGTGCCGAACGAGTGAGGACCCCCAGACGCCGAAAATGACCACAAACCTTCCGTCATGTTTTATTTGAAAGCGAGGATGCCAGGGGCGAGGCCCCGTTTGGGCGGCATGGAGCCTTGGCTTTCTTCCTCGGCCTCCCTGGCGGCGGCATGGCTGCTTCTGGAGCCTTCGCCTCCTTCTGCTTTGCGGCCGCTGGTGGGGCCGCATCGCCAGGGGTCGCCGATGCCCCCTTCTTCCTCGCGGGAGCGTATACTTCCCACCACCAAAAGTTCCTCCTCCTCTCCTCCTCCTCCTCCTCCCCATTCCCCTCCCCCCTCCTCCTTCTCCTCCTCCTCCTCCTCCTCCTCCTTCTCCTTCTCCTCCTCCTCCTCCTCCTCCTCCTCCTCCTCCTCCTCCTCCTCCTCCTCCTCCTCCTCCTCTTCCTCCATGGTTGCCCGCTCGACCCAGGGACCACGAACAATGCAGCGACCGGAGCCCCAGACCAGTCTTGCCTGCGTCACGCTCTCGGCCAGATGGATCTGCCCTGGCCCCCAGGGCCCGGCACAGGCCGACAACGCCCGGCGGGAGAGCCTGCGACGCCAGGATCTCAGGGTCGGGGGCGGCCAAGAGGAGGGCGTCCAAGAGGGGGGGGCGCAAATCATGGCCGGCGGCCTGTGCGCGGCCCGGGGGGGGGGGGGGGGGCAGGGAGGTAATGAAATCAGAAGAGGCGCCATGAAATCTGGGGAAACATCATGGCCCCAGCCATGATATCCCCCCCCCAAGTCATCACCCCCCTCATTGCCGCCCCCGACAGGGGTGGCGTGCTTTCCCTCTCCCGGGCTGGGCGAAAGGGGGGATAGCAAAGGGCGGGTTTGAGAATCAGCTCACGCAGCTGATTTTCCTGGCGCCTCCCAGGGCCGGGAGGCGCCCATGTCTCGAGGAATGGGCCCGGCGGCGGGGCCGAGACCAGCTGCCTGCAGCAGATTTCGTACCCCCCCCTTTCCCTATCCCCCCCTTCCGTCTGGCCCGACTCTCCCGACTTCCTCTTCTTCTTCAGACCCTTCACGAGCGGCAGGTCCGCCTTCGCCACCTCGGCGACGTCCTCCAGGTCCCCCGCCTCGCTGTCCAGCTCGCTCAGGGTGTCCCCAGGGCTGTCCAGCGGCGTGCCCGGCACCGAGGACAGGTCCACGTCGCTGATGGTGTCACGCGTGCTGAGCGTCTCCCCGGCGTCGGAGATGATCTCGCTCGTGCCGGCACCCTCTGGAGCAGCACAGAACGACACAGCCCTACACTTTCGCAGACACGCTCGGACTTCTCGGATCGCCGCTTGGCCCACGGCGCGCTCCGCGCGCCGGGGAGGGGTTTCTGCGCCGATCCCAAAAATCCGCGCGGAACTCCGGGAAGCTCTGTTTGCGCAGTGGGATCTCCTTCGATTGCTGCTGTGAGGGAACGATGTACCCCCCTGGATGGGGATCTAGGTCATTCCCTGCGGGCTTCGAGGGGTGTATCCCCAACTGGGGTGGTAATTTGGTTGGGGTCTCGAAGGGGACGGGGATGGGGATGGGGGTTCGGTTAAGCGATACCGAAGCAAGGTCCCGAAGGGAGCAGGCCCTGGACCCGGGGGCAGGACCAGCTTTCGGATGGGTCAAGGGGTCCTATAGGAGGAGGAGGAGGAGGAGGAGGAGGAGGAGGAGGAGGAGGAGGAGGAGGAGGAGGAGGAGGAGGAGGAGGAGTAAGGGTCGCCTGAGCCCTTCGGAGAAACCCTCCAGCCTCGGAGGGCCCTGGAGGGCCTGGGAGGCCCTGGCCCAGACATTCAGTGCTTGGGTTAGGCAGCAGCTCCTAGAGGAAGTTTGCGCAGATACGAAAAAGTCGGCGCCGGACAGACCTCCTTTGGCAAACCACCCTTCATGAAGAACGGCCCAGGACCGAAACCGACGGTCCTGGACCCGCAGAACTGACGGCCGCGGCGCCCTCTCGCGAACCGAAGACGGCCAATTCGCTCATCGACTTGTCAGGGTAGGAGGTCTACCAAACTCTGGGTGAGGACTGACTATGGAGCCCGATTGCAAGGGTTGGGTCGGACATGTCCCCTTACAGGCTGATTTTGGATGATCAATCAAACATTTCCCCCAACAACATCAAAAATACTTTACAGAAAAATCGTCCAGAGACTATTTAAGGACTCTTCGTGAATATTCCTCCCCTATAGAGACTTCAGACTAACTGTGGACCCCGATGGCAAGGGCCGCCGAGCTGTCTTCGGACGGACTGAGCCCTACGTCAGGCCCAGCTCGGCCGAGCCCGGTGGGACCATGCTGAGGGGCAACGATAGGGGGGGACTGGCATAGGGGGGGATGGATACATCGCCGATAGATCGGCGATAGGCCTCCGATGGTGAGTCCGCACCCTCCTGGGCAGGTTGGGGCCATCGGGCCCCTGGCGGCGATCAATGGGCGATTGGGGGTCGATGCATCCCCCCCTCCGCCTATCATCCCGATCGTTGCCCCTGTCATGCCGGATGGGTCAGGCCGGGCCTCGGCCACGGATGCACCAGCGCCGATGCTGAGCGAAACCTCCCAGGGCGAGGTCGGGCGTGTCCCCCTACAGGCGGATTTTGGACGGAAGAAGATATAAACGACATCCCAAATTAACGAAAGAGTGCTACAAAGATCCTCCCCTGAACATTTGTTTGGGAATCTTTGAGTATTCCTCCTGTAGAGGGACACGCCCGACTTGATCACCAGGGGGGGCATCCTTCTCTGGGGGTGGGGGGGCTCCGAGAAACCGAGCATGGAGAACAGCAGTCGGGGCCAGCCTCCCTCCAGGCCCGTTTTGCTCCATGGCGGCCTCGCTCTCCGAGACGCCGCTGACGCCGGTGTCCGACGCGGCCGAGGACGCGGTGTCCGAGGCGCGCTTCTTGAGGTCCACCAGGTCGCCGGGCGGCCTCGGCCGTCGCCAAATGGGCAACGCAGGCGAGTCGGTGGCCTGGATGGAGATGGTCTGCACTGGAGTTTTCTCCAGGTGCCTGACGACGTGGCTGATCACCGCCGCTGCGTTCGCTATCAGGTGCTCCTCCGGCATGCTGCATCTCCCGATCTTGATCCCGATGGAGGGGCCCGCGGGTATGCGCAGCGGGGTCCCGCGCATGGCCTTTTCGATCGCCGCTTTGGGGTCTGAGACGGTCAGTCGAACGGGGATGGGAGCCTTGCGCTTCTTCTGGTAAAAGATGGTGCCAAGAATTTTCGGCATCGATTCTACAACGTTGCGGTCGCACAAGAAGAGGTCGAAGGCGTCCGCCAACGCCCGCTTGGCCTCTACAGTGTTGTAATTCTTTCGCAACTTCGTCATGCCGATCACCTTGGTCAGCCCCGGCACAGGGTGGGTCTTCAGCAGGAGCTCCTTGTACTTCTTCTGGGGGTCCTTGCAGAGGAAGCAGACCTCTGCCTTCTCGTCGTACAGGGGATGTGGCAGCGGAACCATCACTGGTCTCACCCTCCTCTTGTCCGGGATGGCGCTGAGCGAGAACAGCAGCGTCATGGTCTCGGCGCTGTCGGCGAAAAGCGGGTTCGCGTTGGCGGTGCGCTTGGCCACCAGCTGCACGAGGGCCTTCACGGCCTTCTCCAGGTGGGCCTTCTTGACCTTCAGCTTCGCGGCGGACTCGCCTGGGCGGAGGACGAGAAGAAGGGGCGCCAGGAAACTGTAAACGCACATGGCTGGATTCACATTTGAAACACTGTTTGCTCACAGCGAGTCCCCCCGGAGTATGGAGCCCAGCCAAGAGGCCCGCTTCTCGCCGCGAGCCGATGTTCTGGACGGCCTCGGGGTCCAGCGAGGGCCCCCGGTGGCCGAGACGCGCCGGCGAAACACCTCCCGCCCCAGACATGCGACGACCTGTTTTTGTTTCCAGGACGGCGTCCCTGGAAGTCCCGACCCGTTCCCCGGGACTGGCTTGTCGTCCTGAGTCGTTTCTTCATGGTCCCGAGGCCCGGCGAGAGCCCCCCCCTGGGCGGAAAATGGCCAACCTACTCCCGCCGACGCGATCGTGTCTGGGGTCAGGAGTGTTGCCGCGGCACGATGCTGCCAGGGCTCCCCGCCGGACCACGGCGTCGCCTTCTGCCGCCATCTCGCGCGGGGCACTGCGCGCCGCGCGGCCTGCGATGAGGGGCAACGATAGGGGGGGACTGGCATAGGCGCGGATGCATCGACCTTGAATCGGCGATACATCGCCGATAGATCGGCGATAGGCCTCCGACTGAGAACCCGCATCCTCCTGGGCAGGTTGGGGCCATCGGGCCCCTGTCGGCGATCAATGGGCGATTGGGGGTCGATGCATCCTCCCCTCCGCTTTTTTGTTTTTTTTCCAGCGCACGGTATTCGTTTTGTCTTTGTTCCCAGAGCGAGATGACACCACAGATGAGGAAAAAGACGAGTCTCAAATGCAACCTCTTTGCTGCACCGTACCGAGCACCCCATGCCCCTGGACCCCTTTCAAAGCAGGGAGCAACAGAACACGGGTGACACTACAACGGCAGGTTCGCGTCGTGTCGACCCCGGCGTTGGTTTTTGACACCGCAGGGATCGTTCAACCTTGAACGATCGGCCGCTGCCGCAACGTCCGATCGTTCAACATCGATCGATTCTGGGTCGCCGGCGGCGTTCAACCTTGAACGCCCGCGCTGGGGTCGCCGCTGGTCGACACGACGCAAACCTACCGTATGAGGAATAAAACGCGTCTCAAATGCAACCTCCTTGTTGCATCCCCCCCTCCGCCGATCCCCCCCCTATCGTTGCCCCCGATGCGAGCCGCGCGCAGCGGGCGCGGCACACCGGCGCGGGCGAGGCGGCAGGGGCCCGACGCGGCGGCCGCTCCGCGGGGCGGCTGCCGCCCTCGGGTGGCTCGAGCCCGCGGGGGAGGGCCGAGGAGGAGGAGAAACACTGGCGGGAGGAGAAGGAGGAGGAGGAGGAGGAGGAGGAGGAGGAGGAGGAGAAGGAGGAGGAGGGGAGGAGGAGGCAGGAGGAGGAGGAGGAGGAGAGGAAGGAGGAGGGGGGGAGGAGGAGGAGGAGGAGGGGAGGAGGAGGAGGAGAGGAGGAGGAGGAGGAGGAGAAGGAGGAGGAGAGAGGAGGGGGAGGAGAAGGAGGGGGGAGGAGAAGGAGGAGGAGGAGGAGGGAGGACGAGGGTGCGAGGAGGGGAGTTCTCCACAACCACCGCCCTGAGTCTCGGCCTTCGGCGGCTTCGGCTGGCGGCAGACACGTCTGCGTTCGCGCCTCCGCAGGCCGCCGGGGTAGGAGGGGGGCAAAGACACCTCCTCCTCCTCCTCCCTCCTCCTCCTCCTCCTCCTCCTCCTCCTCCCTCCTCCCTATCCGCCCTCCTTCCTCCTCCTCCTCCTCCTCCTCCTCCTCCTCCTCCTCCTCCTCCTCATCCTGCTCATCCGACTCCGCCTCCGCCTACGCCTCCTGATCTCGGCCTCTACATGGAGGCCCGTCCGCAAGAGACCTTCCACAAGAAACGCAACCCTGAGACCCCAGGACTTCAATGTATTTTTTGGGGGGAGCGTCACGCTTTCCACCGCAACCATCGAAACCCAAGAAACCCGAGGCACCCTGGAGGCAAGCAGGGTGTTTCTTGGCATGGGTCTCCACTGTATCCGCATCCACCGCCTGCCGAGAACCCCGAAGATCGAGCCCCCAGGCGGCGGTCGTGAAGAAGTCCCCGCCCCCGAGAGTGTCGAGAGTCGAGTAGTCGAGGACTAGAGGGATGAGGATCGAAACCCAGACCAGACCTCGTCGACGTCCAGAAGGCTCCTTCTGGGCGGGGGTCTCCAGACCCCATGGAGACCCCATCTTTCTGGGAAAAGCTCCCTGGCCTCATCTCGAAGTCAGGCGAACTCTTGATCATGGAGACCCTGTGTGGAGGCTGCTTGGCGGGGCCTTCCCCGGGGGGTGGGAGCCCCCCTCTGTGGATGCCTCTGGGGACGCGGCGGCAGGAGGTGGGGGCGCAGCTCGGGACCGACTGCAGAAGACGCCCGAGGGGACACGGGCCTCTTCCCCATACGGTAGGTTCGCACGGCGTCGGCGCGCACGAAGGTTTGTGTCACCGCGTCGATCGTTCAACCTTGAATCGATCGAGGCCCCGATCGTTCAAGGTTGAATTCAGGCGCGTCCACTGGCAGCACCGTGTCCATCGGTGCTTCCGCGTCGCAGAATTCAACCTTGAACGCCCTCGCTGGCGTCGCTGGCGTACCAACGCCGCACGAACCGACCGTAGCTGCCACCGTGCCGCTGGGCAGTGAGTGGGCGTGTCCCCAGGTCCTTGGCCCGATCCCCAGGAGCCTCCGTCGTGACTCCTGAGGATAGGCGGCGAGCCAGGGGGGGAAGTGAGAAGGGGCGTACCTTCTCAGAAGGCTCGGAAGTCCCCCGGACTTCTGAGAAGTTTTCTAAGCCTTCCCCGAAGACACAAAAAACTTCTCAGAAGGCGCGAGGGCTTCTGAGAAGTCCCGCCGCCTTCTGAGAAGGCCTTCTCCTTCTCACTTCCCCCCCTCGCTCGCCGCCGAGAGGAGCTCATGAGGGGCCCGGAGCCCAGATGGCCAGAACTTTCAGGGTTTCCCGCGGTTTCCCTGGGGCTTGGCGCGTGGTGGCGCGTGCCTTTTTCGGGCCCAGGGGGGGCCTGCAAGACGACCCAAAAACGCCCCCAGAACGGTCCATGAGGGCACCGAGCAGCCGAACGATCGCTCCAGGACGCCAAAGATGGCCCCAAGATGGCCTCAGGAACCTCCCAGACACCCAAAGAGGCCCCCAAGAAGCCTCCCAAGCGGGTCCCAAAAAGTCAGAATCATGTATTTGTCGTAAGTGTTTGCAGGATGTTGGCGTTGTCACCATTCCGATGTCCCCGCTCTCGCGGGAGCCCGTTCGTTTATTCGGGCCGATCGCGCGCGTGATCGGGGGGGGTCCGTCGCGCCGATCACGTCACGGCGGGGGTGCGCTTGCGGTGCTGCAACATGCAAGCAAGCACTGCAGTAGTAGTAGTAGTAGTAGTAGTAGTAGTAGTAGTAGTAGTAGTAGTAGTAGTAGTAGTAGTAGTAGTAGTAGTAGTAGTAGTAGTAGTAGTAGTAGTAGTAGTAGTAGTAGTAGTAGTAGTAGTAGTAGTAGTAGTAGTAGTAATAGTAGTAGTAGTAGTAGTAGTAGTAGTAGTAGTAGTAGTAGTAGTAGTAGTAGTAGTAGTAGTAGTAGTGTAGTAGTAGTAGTAGTAGTAGTAGTAGTAGCAGTAGTACTGGTAGTAGTAGTAGCAGCAGCAGCAGCAGCAGCAGAGTAGTAGTAGTAGTAGTAGTAGTAGTAGTAGTAGTAGTAGTAGTAGTAGTAGTAGTAGTAGTCGTAGTAGTAGTAGTAGTCGTAGTAGTAGTAGTAGTAGTAGTAGTAGTAGTAGTAGTAGTAGTAGTAATAGTAGTAGTAGTAGTAGCAGCTGCAGCAGCAGCAGCAGTAGTAGTAGTAGTAGTAGAAGTAGTAGTAGATGTACTTGTTGTTGTAGGAGTAGTGGTGGTAGTAGCCGTAGTAGTAATACGATTACTGGCTGTAGTAGTAGCAGCAGCAGTGCTAGCCGCAACCGTGGTAGTAGCAATAGTAGTCGTAGTAGTAGTGGTCGTAGTAGTCGTAATT